CTGTCTAGCTATTACGTATGAAGAACAGACTAGGGTGGAGCCCGTTGGATTCAAAAGTTTGGAATCTGATTTGCTTAGCATTTTTGCAGGTTCGAACCCGATCCGAATTGATTAAAATTTTTCGGATTTAGACTCGGTTCCAATCAATCCATACTCATCATAATCTTATTGAAAAATTTTAATTTAAACTTGATAGCCGGTGTGAAAACATATCATACCTTTCACGATTAGTTGAAATCAGTGACTAAGACGCTCTATTCATCTCTAAAGAAATGTTATTGAGAATTCGAGCGAATAAAAGTTCTAACTAACTGTTACGTTTGAAGAAGCAATCATCTAGCTAGATATGAAGTGGAACTCGACATGGGAATGGTCTACAGAAAATTTCCAGTCTCAGATTCGATCGGGTCTGGATCCGAATCCAAACTGACGGGCTTTAGACTAGGGACATCGCGAGTATTGATACCATTAGAGTCGAAAAGTCTTTGAGATTTCTATGCTCAATAATACCTTAAAGATTATCCAGTATCGATATATTTTCTCTCTTCTTAATGCATACGATTTACTTAGGTCATTCCTACATTTGAAAATGACTTAGGATAGTATTGATATCAGACTTTAATACTTATTAATATGCAGTAATGAAACATGATTGTATTTATAGAATACACGAAGAAATATATGGCGAACGGTCATAATTAATTTACATTAGTCTGATATTTAGTTTATTTTATAGACGTTTCCAGGACAGTCTAAAAGGTATTAAATATATTTTCAATGACGTAAACTGCATATCAGAATATCCTGTATTTATTAAGACCAAGCAACATCCAATAAACACCACAAAAACATCGAGAAAAGATACATTTATAGATATGAAGAAGACTTTTAAGGATGCTTTTTTTCCATGATAGGTGCATCAGCAAAACAATTTATTGTTGCTAGAGAAATTCGGAGAAGCAATAAGAATTTACAGGTTCTCCCAATTGTTTTTGTTCTCTAGAGTGTACATATACATAGCAGTGTTTATATTCAGGTATAACTTTGTTAATCATGCAGAAAAACTGATACGCGGCATACTTGCTGCACATGCAAAGCAATTCGTGTTCATTGCTTTTTCTGATGGATTCCTCCTATATACATAAATATATATATAAACTCAACGAAAGTAAATACAACACTATCCTTATTGATAGTGGATTTGTTGGATGATGTAATCGTACATACAATCAAGAAGGATTGGCTATGGTATGGGACAGTATACTGCAATGTTGATTTCCTTCATTATATTCACTCTGTTCCTTAGGAAAGAACCTCATCTCATTGTTTATCAGGATAAAATGTTATCTCGAAAGAGTACAGATGATCATCTTGGAATTTAATCCTTCCGTTTAGTTTTCAAATAGGATTGATTTTACTAGTAAATCTATCTTCGTCTATAACAAGAGAAGCATCAATTTTTCATTTCATTTTCAAACTATTTTTATTTGCATCTATTCGTGATAAGAGTTAATTTTATTCTATCTGATAGTTTTGTTTAAAAAAAAACAACATACCTGCTGGATTAACAGGACGACCATTAAATATAAGACGATAATTAGTCATAATTAAAGCACCTTCAGCTGGCAATAAACGGATTTTCTCCAATGAAAAATTCAACCCTTCCATCAGGTAATAAATAAGCACGTAGAGCAATTGATTCTTCATGTTCAAATAATTCTGGTATTGTAACAAAACGTGGTAATAATGGTTTAGGTATTGGTGCAACTTGTCGTGTTTCACGATAAACTTTTTCAAGAACTTCAATTTGAATTTGAACAGTTTCTATACAATAAAACAATAAAAGAACAAACAATAATGAAAATAAATAAAAACTACAAAAACATACGATAAAGTTTTATATGAAGACTATTTTTATGTATTGCATTAACACCACTTTTATTACAAATTTTCTAACAAAACTAAGTACAAGATCAGTTACTTGATCGTCATTATTATCTAAATCAAATTCATTTCCACTATCATGTGAACCAACTGTTGATGCTTCATCAGCATCTCGAACACTAAAATTTATTATGATTAAAATAAAAAATATTCAATATTTAAAACATATTTAAATGGATCATTTACATACACTATGATAAAAATCACTTGTTAAACTATCAGAATTACCAGTTATTGTATGTGTTACATGATTATACATTGATTGTCGAATATTTAATGATGATGATATATCTAATGGTAATTTCATATAAACCATTAATTGTATATGATGAATAGCAAATGCATATATTGTTTGTTCTTCAACTTCTTCAAGTGAACGTTGTTCTTCCAATGTGTTTTGTGAATATAAACGCATCTATAAATTTTTTTCTAGTCAATTAAAAAGAAAAGAATATTTATTATTATAATATTTACTTGTTCTGCAGCTATTTCAAGTGCTAGTTTTTCATGTGTTGTTGTTGTTCCATTATGATGAGAAGAATTTTCAGTAGATAATTCATTTGTTACAGATAATTGATGTGTAACTGTATCTGTTGATGATACGGATAATGAATCTGTAATTGGTGAAACTTCTGTATTATGTTGTGTAGAATCTTCATGTGATAAATATAGATTTTGTATTTGTAACTGAACATCAGAATAAAATGACATTTCCCAAAATTGCATATTTGCCTAAACCTTATGACGTTGAATTTCAGTATAAATAAATAGATGTTGCTTCTTCACTTAATTTCTATAAGAAAAAAAACCGTGATCGTGATAATTTGTTATATCTGATCAGACACGACTGACTATCGGGATTTATTTATTGCAGTCTACGAAAATCAGTCGGAAAATTTTGTAATACAAGAAGAAAAGGTTTCTGAGCTCGAACTTAAAAATGTAAAAACGAAACAAAATTTAATTATATTAATATGCTAATACTAGAGACAGATAGTGATTAAAGCAAATAAGTTAGCTGAATACAGAAAAGTAATACTACTTCAGAAATTAGGAGCAAGTTCTTCTACAGGCTGACTCATAAGTAATGAAACACAGTATTTTTTCGATTTCTTTCTTATACAAAGTTAGTTAAGGCTCATATTTATACTACAGATACATCTTTGATCACTTACTTTATCCCGAAAGTTTTAGGCTTGTACAATGAGAATCTGTTGAGGAAAATACAAATATGTCTGATGTATTCAAGTAGCAATGAACAAAAATTTGCTGTTTGCCTGCTAAATTTTCTTTTTGTTCTCTTCTCAATAACATCAAGTTGTACCGCTTAAATTGGATATTTCCATTCTCGTTCTTACTATTCAAATCTTCTTGGATAGAGTTATTCGGAAAAAGCCTAAAAAACCTGCAGAAGCGGATTCATTTATCAAAAGCTGCTGTTATTGAGAAGAGAACAAAAAGAAAATTTAGTAAGAAAACAGTAAATTTTGGTTCATTGCTGTTTGAGTACATAAGACATATTTGTATTTTCTTCAACGGATTCTCATTGTACAAGCCTAAAACTTTCGGGGTAAGGTAAGTAATCAAAAATGTATCTATAGTATAAATATGAATCCTAGCTAACTATGTATAAGAAAGAAATCGAAAAAATACTGTTTCCTTTCTTAGGGGCCACCCTATATTTATTCACCAAGGTAGTCTGATTGCAGAATATCCCTATGATTTCGTCTTCATTATGACCCTCATCTTCAGTCTTAAGATGCACACCTGAGTTCGAGTTTCTCTTTAAGAAGCAATGATTGTTCTTTTATTACAATATCTTCGAACAATTTTCGCTCTTCCTATTTATTCATAGCAGACAAGACATTTTAACTAGTTTTATTTTAATAGAAAGCTTATGATGAAATTCTCATTTACATTAAAGATTTATAAAACTATCTTTGTTAGTTCGTAAAATTCTTTAATCTGTATAAATGATTGTAATTCGATAGTACTATAAACCATCTTTTTATCATCATGATTTACAATGGAAAAACTGTAAATAATCACTTCTATATCTCAAACTGATCTTAAAATTAGTAACACTCTCAGATGAGTGATTCAGGCAGTCGATTGTCTTTGGCAACAGAGAAAACTGAACACAGGATCCAGACATCGTATTTCTGCTTCCATGATTCTAGCGAAATCGGCTTGTATGCTTTCACCTCAGACTAGCGTAAAACAGTCAAATAGTTGATTACATTATCGATACTTTATTTTGATAAAGTGGCTTTGTTTACTCTATATTGGTTTTTATTATCAACTATAATTTGTTTTATTAAAGCTAGTAGGGATTATTTATCTTAAGAATTTCAATTATGATGACCCCATTATGATCGTTAAAAAAGATCAGTATATCAGATAATGATCTATCTGCGCTTTTGACCTTTTCTCAGTCGTTTTTTTGATCTCTCATTATGTTTCTTTTCTTGAACACAATGTATCATTTACTAGCATTTTCTTCTATCTAATCATTCTCTTGTTCCTTATTTTTGTTAATTGTAACAATTATAAAAGAGATACATTATTCGAGCAGCAAAAAAAAAATTTTGGAAACGGGTGTGCGTGTGAGTCTTCTCTTCGCCCACATCCACACCCACACCCAGATCAAGACGATGTACGATTCCATCTCGAATTAATAATTGACGATAATCATTTAGAATTATTCAACATTGTTTACCTAAAATAAAATTATAGATCTTATAAACGAATAAGAATTTCAAAGTCACATGAATGAGTGATATAGCAATGTTATAGAAGCTAAATCCAATTATTGGTTGAAGACTATTGGAGAATAATGTGAATATTTGCATAAAGATAGGTCTTACTGAGAATAGATTATAAAGAAAACTTAAGATCTATTCACTTCAAACCAAAGGAAAAAACATCTGATTTCTATCATTTGTGAACAGTTTTTATCTGTTCAGCTAACCTATTCCAGTTTAGTTTCAAATCGAAATTTTCAAATGAATCATTTCGTTGTTTATGAGAAAGATGACGACTTTAACTAGAAATTGCTATTTAACTGCAGCAGAAGTACAAAATCTATCAACATGCAAGAGCGACCGTTCGGAGAAATTTTAGAAGACTTTTGAGTATCCAGGAAAATTTTTTTGAACACTGATAGCTGCCCTACAATACATATCACACCTGTATTTTCAATCTTTGAAGAAATAAATACTTGTTCAAACTTTCATTTTGATCTTGTTGAATAGAGAACTTAGTTTTGAAAAAAACTGTCAAGTTTGTTTTTCGAAAAGATGTTTCATGGATGTATAAAGTTTATGACGTCAGAGTGTATTCTAATGCTAAACTGTGAGTTCATTTTTCTACAAATAAAAAACGATTTATGTAAGCGTATGCTCACAAATATCGATATTCAATGTTAGTTATTGCAGACTCGAAGATAAAGAATTTTTTGCTTTAGATGCTAGTGACCTTAGTATAGTTGTGAAGTTTTTGCTCGAGAGGAAGAAAGTTTTGAACTAAAGCCTCAAAGAATTTTAAAGTATATTATGAAAAAAAATCTTATCATAAGTCAGAATCGTTCTATAAAATGGTCATTCTCAAACCATCTGGTGTACAACTAAATTCTGAACAAGACAGTGGATGTGTTCACGTAAACAATGGAAACCTTGAAACTATTTTGAATCAATAGAAAATCATAGCTCAAATTTTTTTGGAGTCAATCGTTATCCAGTATTTCGACATTTTCTATTAAAATCTATTCAAAAAACAGATTCGGCAGTTTTTTTTAGCAAACTAAGTTTTCTATTTACTTGTGTGATAATTATAATCTTTAAATGTTTTTAAAGACTAAAAATAAAAACTCCATTATCTATCATAGAATATTTGTTGTTTTTCCCTATCACAGAAATATCTTACTATCTTTCAAAAGAATCTTTAATTGAATTTAATGGTGAGCGAAATTTTTCGTGAAAATTTCGCCTTTAGGTGAAACTTATCATTTTAGTGACAGATTCTGCAACTCTGCTTTCTTTCGACAATCTTTTTCTTTTTAATAAAAGACCTACTACGAAATAAAAGTCGCTATAGTGTAGATTTTTCAAATATAAAGATCATTAGTGTAATGTAAAAAAAATTCCTAAATATTAGTCGCAGATCTAAATTAATCTTAACTCAGTTAATAGAACTCGACGAGCTGGTCACTTTAATGATAACATTTTTCTCCATACTACTTTCTTATAGTTTTCAGCTTGACATAACTTTATGAAATATTACAAATAGGTATCAAACACATAGACTGATCTGCATATATTACATGCTTTGGTTTGTCTATAAACATACTATACTGCTTATTTTATAGTTGAACACATAGATATGAGTATGGCTGTGAATTTGAACAATGAAGAATAGTTACATTCACCCTCAAGAAAATGTAATTATGAATGGATTGACGTCTTTTCATTAAGTATTTCTCTAGAGAATTACATCAGAAAATGATTTTGTTATTCAACATTCTTAATGATATAAACTGAACTGAGCGCATACTTATTTGTTGTTGCAACTTGCAAGGTACTAAGCAGAACCAATCCTATCGATCATCGAAACACAATACTTTCCATGATTTTTAATTTAACACCATTTTTTCTTCTCTTCTCTTTCGTGAACATGACATATTTTCCAACGTTTATGTCAATGAACATAATGTCAGAAATTTGTCAGAAAAAGAAATGATAATCATCAATGATTTCATTGGACGATGCATTTATGTAATATTTTCTTTGTAACAAGTTCACGCATTCTATTCTTCATTGAGGTCAATCATCATAAACATAAACAAAGGACATTTACCTATAATGAAATGTACGTATACTGACAACATTGTCATAGTCAATATTCGATATGAATCGATCCGCTGTTCATCTTCTTGATTTACCTAATGAGATATTATTTAATAGTTTAAAGAAACTTGATAATGTTGATGTTCTTTATTCGTTGTTTGGTATTAATAATGATCGACTTGATAGTATAGCACAAGAAGAAACTTTTTCGACTATTCTCAATTTCGTATCAATTGTTCATAACATTATAATAAATGATTCAATACTTGATCGATTTTGTAATAACGTATTACCTCAAATTTATTACAATGTGAAATGTCTTATTGTTGAATCAGCGTCCATGGAACGTATCCTTCTCGCTACTCATTATCCGAATTGGACTCAATTGAAAATTTTTAATTTTCAACGTGACAGTTGTTCATTACGTTATTTTACAGGTAAGCAAGTGTACATTCCATCATTTGAAAGATCATAGTGCAACAATATTGACTACAGTAGATTATACAATGTTTCACTATTATATTTTAATTAAGATGATTCATCCCTTCAACGTATCTTCAAACAACAGATTAAAAAACTTGATCTTATCAATGAAGATAGTGAACTTGCTGTGGAATCATTGAAAAATTATACGAAAAAAGTATATGCACATATTTTGACTTACTTCGAAAATCTTGAGTATTTGAATGTTATTGAAACATCGATTTCTGGATATCCAGGCTTGGTAGTTCATTATTTACCATTAAATACTTTTTCTTCTGTAATTCTTACTTATTTATGTATTAATGTGGCAACATTGACTGATTGTCTTTATGTACTTGATGGTCGTCTCAAACAATTAAGTACATTCATTGTTCGAATTTATTGTATGGATATGGATTCATCATTTGTACACAAAATGGTAGGTATCTTTTATCTTGTTATACTACTCGAACAAACAAAATGTTAGGTATGAGTTTGACAGAATTAGAAAGTTTTATGAGAAATCAATAGACAAATTTGTGAGTCATTTTAGCCTAAAGATCGAAATTGGACTTAAACGAAACTGAAGTTTGCATGTCTTCAAAAGCTAATGTTTGAGAAGTATGATATGACTCGGAAAAAGGTACGTAGAAGGTCGTTCATATTCTTTAACCTTACATGAGAATTAGTCATCATTCATAAATATCAAGATTGTTAAATTTGATTTATGTGATGAAACAGATGAATAATTGAATCTTACTGCAATAATCCGAATAAATTCACCATTATAGACAGATGTGAAAGTTACCGATTATCAATTGTAACTTCTTCACATGTACATTTTATGATAAAATGAAACATATTTGCAGTAGTTTCAAATGAAATGGACATATACTGAATGCTCAGATTATTACAACGAAAACTGAAAACAAGATATATTTTCTGTATCCATTAATTAATATAATATTTAAATGATTATAGTTATCGAATAGAGTTGTTTTTCGAGAAAAACCAATCTGTAGAATATGATATATAGGAATTATTGGCTTAAATTTTTAAATTGTTATTTAAGAAGAAAAGGTTTACGATTAAGTGTGTATATTGGTTACAGTTTTATACGAAAACAAGAAATTAAAAAAAATTGCTTTCTATTATGTAGGACGATCTACGTCATCTTAAGCGTTTTTCATTAATATGTCATGCGTTAACTGAAGAATATGACAATAAAATTGT